AGCTGGGCTCACCGTGGGCCGGCTGCTGGTATGTGGGGCGAGCCGTCACCCAGCAATATCCGAAACGGGGCGCAGGTGGATTCTGGGGTAACTCCGGTCCCATTTTAAAGTCGTCGGGGACTCGCCCTCTAAGGCACGGGCGAGGCAACACTGACTGCGTTTCGCGTAGCGCTGCTTTCTCTACAGACCCGCTGCATTCGGGTTTTCCTTCACCCACAAGAACATCGGCTTCTTGGGGTTCAGATCAATTGTAAAATCACTTGAGCGCTCAGGAAGCAGGAAGCTGGTGCTAAGTTCAGTTCCAGGGGGCCTGAGCTGAGTGCATTCGCTAGCATGACAGACGGACGCCAGTCACGTGCGAGCCCGGGATCGCACTCCCCACCCTCCACCTCCTCCGGAGGCTCCAGGAATGTCGCAGTTCTAAGGTCAGGGAAGCCGAATAATTTCTAATCCATTAACCCTACAGATTTTTACAGCCCAACAGGGGTTTTAACTCAGCCCGCCTCCGACAAGCTCCAAGGGCTTCCGAGATGCACAAAATCCTGGCCAGCAGAGAACACACCAGTAAATCACCTCCCTGCACTGATGCAGCGAGGTCGGACCGCGCCAGGCCCCACAGGCAGGCCCGGCTCCCGCAAGCCCCCCGCCAGCGCCCCGGCCCCCTTGTTCGCGCCAGGCTTTCCGTCCTTCGGGAGAGTGAACGGTACCTGGCAGTGTGATGTTGGCGAAAATAGGCCGTCCGTCAACATTGAGAGAGGGCACAAATAATTCAGTCTGGTTAACCAGGAGCCCGTCGTGGGTCCCTGCATCTCTGAAGAGCCAGAGGTGACCTGTGAAGACAGCAGAGGGCGTCGGCAGCCGGCCCCTCATCTCCCACCAAGAGTCCGTCGGGGCTCAGCAGAGCGCACCCCCCACTGCTGAAAGGAGCCACGAGGACACACTGTAGGAAGCGCGAAGCCACCTGTGGCACGGAGGGGGCTGAGCGGGAGCGGGGGGGGGGGCAGTCCCGACTGAGGGAAATGCCCCAGCCTCCCGGCCCTGGGGTGTCACTAAGGTCCTCCCGACCTGTGACCCCAAGGTCTGGGTACCTCACTATACGCAGGAGACAAAGCCCAGGCTCATGACTCTGCTTAAGGACAGACGAGGCTGTCAGCGTGGGCGCTGAGGCGCTAAACGTAGAGGACGATTTCGATAAGAAATCTAAACTGGTGTGGTAAAATATACGTAAAAAATGACCATTTAAGCCAATTCAAGTGTATGGTTCAGTGACACAGTGGACTGCTGAGGGCCATTCACATAGAAGTTTCTTAGAACTCTCACATTCCCTACGACACACCAGAGAGCCTGCTCCCGACCAAGGACCGGCCCAAGGCGTCCTGCAGAAGGTTTAGGGCTGCAGGGCACAGCTGCTGTCTGGAGATGGAATTTCTTTTGATGACCCAAAAATGCCAAGCACCCATGCTCAGGTGGAGGATGACCTACAGTTCCATCCGCCTTCATGTATTTATACTGTTTTATTTATTATGCTGTTTTATTAAAAACAACAACAGTATTTTCCTCATTAAAAAATTTCATATTAACCAGTCCAGATAAATAGTGGAACAGAACGCAAAACCCAACAGCTCCTAAATAAGACTACAAAAATGCCGGCCCTGGACCAGTGGGCTCTCCCTCACCTACCATCGCACCTGGGTGCAAGCTGGGACCTGTGTAAGCTGGGGCAGCAAAGAGCAACAGCGGGCGGCCCTGAGGGACCACGAGGGCCCCCGCCCTCCCGCAGGCTGCGC